CCCCATTTTACCAAAAAAAAAAAAAAAGGGTTGGGCTTGATGTAGACTTTAAAAGGTCAGCTCTACCTTCTAATATTTCAGTCGCTGGGGAGCTCAATCATAGAGCAGCTTCTTACGTCTCTCGGGGGTTCCCATGTGATGGGATTTCTTGGTTGAACCCAAATGAAAGGCTAAGGATGGTGTTACAGTCCTTGATGTACCCTCCCATACAAATGACTGGGGAGCGCAACGGCAGGGGAGCAGACGCAAAGCACAGCAGGGGCATTCTCTGATCTTGCCACTTGAGTGTTCCAGCAGGAAGTCGGTGAAGCAACCTGCAAGTCTTCCCCCAAAACTGAAATATCAGTTCTCGGTCAGAAAGGCCTTTAAATCCGTGTAACATGCGGGGGGGAGCTGCAAGGTGGTCATGTCCAATACAACTAAAACAATAATATAGTTTCCCTCCCCTCAGTCTGTTCCACAAATATAAAATTTGACACCTCTTTGCCCTCACGTAGAAAATAAGTGCTTGCGTAGGAAACGCATCGAGAGTTTTCAATTTATTAGTGCGCAGACTTTGTCCCTAAGATTCCGTATTTGGTTTGAAAATTAAAGCTTTCTCGGAGAGGGGACCGGGGTCTTTGCATGAGCGACATCTGGAAGACAGGAAAAGAAAATAACTTATAAGACCTAACAAAAGGGGATCATTTGGATTTTACAGCTGAACTCCGGGATAAGAAAACAATTGTCTATTGGGTATTATTCTTGAATGTTAGGGGGCTTTGTGTATTTCTTCCAGATCTGTGCAGTAATTTGGAGCTTCCTGTAATAAAGACAGCTCACTGCTGCTCTCTCTGCTTGTGCAGGCTGACTGGTGTCGTCTCCACCCCCTCCTGTAATAAAGACGTCTCACTGCTGCCCTCTCTCCTTGTGCAGGGTAACTGGTTTGGTCTCCACCCCCCTATTGTAATAAAGGCCGCTCACTGATGCTCTCTCTCCTTGTGCAGGGTGAGGTCTGGTCTCCGCCCCTCCTTTAGTTTTCAGCAGGCAGCCTGTAGTGGGTGGGGCCTGATGGGCCGAAAACTAAAGATGTAGTGGAACTAGGAATGCTACACCAATGTGCACAGTGATGTCACTGCTACCTTTTACAAGGTAATAATTAGGTTTGTAAATGCATTTGGTGCACACATGGTAGATTGATTCCCTAACATTTCAATGAAAGTCTTTGTGCCCGGAGTTCAGCTTTAACAGAATTACAGAAATGATTAATATCATTAAACAGGTAATACATAATGCAGCCAATACACTGCAGACAATTGCCTGCTAAAATCATAGCAGCTTTGCTCTGGTGCCGGCACATTTGGCTGAACACAAAATAGATGGATGTTGGAAGCAGAGGTTTAAAAGGCAGCACCCTATTTTTGTGTGTGTATACCAGGGGTGGACAAGGCCGGCCCTACAGCTGTGCTTTAAATACAAATCCCATCATGCCTCTGTCTCTGGGAGTCATGCCTGTAACTGTCAGTCTTGCAATGCCTCATGGGACTTGTAGTTCCACAACAGGCTGGAATTGTCCACCCCTGGTTTATACAGTCTTGGAGAAGAGGCAATAGGAATTCTATTAATATGCACTCATCTAAAGTATATCAAAACCTTACCAGTTATGGAACCTGCCGAAATTCCCATAATGCATGGCCCGCTTCAGTGTATGGACACCCCATAAACTGAGGTCTTCCTGCCCCAGGAGATGACTAGAATGCCTCAGACTAACAAGATCCAGAACTAGTGCAGGGACCTTTGTGAACCCTCTTAGAGCCACAAACTAGGCTGCGTAAATCATCATCAAAAGGAGAACTATGAGGTGAGTGCTTTGGACTCATCCTCATAGTTCTAGACGACCTGTGACAATGAAACCGTCACAGGTCGGCGCTATAGATTGGGAAGTGAGCGAACACATACCGTCGCTACCGTGTTTCCCCGAAAATAAGACACTGTCTTATATTTTTTTTGCCCCCAAAAAAACACACTAGGTCTTATTTTCAGGGGATGTCTTTTAGTTTTTTAATGTGCAACAAAATGTACAACAACCCAAAGTTATCTGGTATCACTGTGCTTGTCACAGTAACCGGCGCTATAGAAGTATCGGATAATGCGGCTCTGCTCCCTCCACCGCCGCAGCCTTGCTTTCGACAGCGCCGACTTCCTTTGCCATCAGGGACGATGGTACCAGCGGTGTATCAGTGGAGACATCAGATGAGGAACAAACAGGGGGAGAGGGCGGGCACAGCTGGCTCTGCCTCTAGATAGGCAGAGCCAGCTGTCACTCACGCAGCCGGGTGGATCTCGACAGCATTGCCAGAATCCATCCCAGCTGCGGCGATCTCGGTATATAGTGAGCAATTATATTGAGCTTTGGGCAACGGGAGGAAGTTCAAATATGTCCTCCCGTGACCCTTAAGAGAACTATGGGATAAAAAGATTACCCCACAGTTCTCCTTTAAGCTGTGTCCCTCAATGGGCTCCAAGAAAAGGATTTTACAGCGAGTACAAAAATCCTATCTGTGTTTGCATCTACACGGCAAGGCCAGAGACGTGAACAAGCTGTGCCATGACTATCATGAAACATGGTATTACCTGTCTGTGCTGGCTGCGAATGTCCGGATAGGACTGAGTGTGAAATTGTTGTAGACGGATGAAGAGCACCCAGGAGATCTACAAAGAAAAAATGGAGGCAGGGGAAGAGAGGGATCACATTCAATAGATCTTACACCAGACACAAAACAAAGGAACAGTTTTCCCCACTAACAACTGTTTCCATACGTAACCTAACCAGACCACAGGTGGGAAATCCCAACCAAAGGAGGTGGACCATAGATGATCTGGGCCCATAGAGGAATCAGTCAAGATTTGGGCTTATGCAAAAATCTGAACATTACTTTTCAAAGATTTTAATTACCCCTTATTAAGCTTTATTTTGTCCAAGGCCGACTCTGGAGCTGAGAGGCCTATTAGGATCTGACGGTTGCGGACAGGCTGTGTTCCCAGCACCTAAGCTAGTAGAACAGCATCTATTCTGATCTTATCCATTAGTTCTATTTAGCTATTTCAACATTTTCCAACTTCAAAAAAGATACCTGACACTATGCCAGGGCCATGGTTATTGCTGCTTTCTTGTCACAAAACAGCTAGGGATGTCTAGTGGAACTATTCCCCCTTGGCAGTATTTTCGGTGTCAGCTAGAGTTCCCCTTCAAAAAGGTGGAACACCAGGCCGAGGGACCAGGGGCAACAAATGAAAAACCTGTATGAAACTACTTACTTCGTGCAAGTCCATGGTTAAAAGTGCCTGGAGCTGGTCCTGTGACAATGGCATCCTTCGTGGATTTTTGGCCCGTGTCCGTGGTGTAAATGACACGTAGTGGGAATTGGTGGATGGTGGGTATGAGGCCCAAGGAGGCGGCGTTTGGGATTTTTCCTCCGTTTGGTTTGTAAGAAGGGGTCAGTACAGTCAGTGATGGAGACGAGGAGGGGGTAATGATTCCAGGGACGGTGTTGCACTTTGCGGTCTGCTGCAGAGGAAACGAAACAGATCTAAGAGAACATATTAATGATTGAGTGCACATCATTAAAGGCGAAGTGCACCTTCTGCAAATGTATAGTAAATTAATCAACACCTACGGTATATAATCAAAATTGTGCATTTACATTTTTTGCATTCAGGCCTGCAGAGCATTGCAACCACGGTCAGTGCATTGTGGGTGCAATGAACAAGCCCTTGCAAAGCTTTCCCCTAGCTTCTAAATCATTTGGATTTTACAGCTGAACTCTGGGATAAGAAAATAATTGTTTATTGGGTATTCTTCTTTAATCTTGGTGAGCTTTGTGTATTTCTTCCAGATCTGTGCAGTAACACGGGAGCTTCCTGTAATAAAGACTGCTCACTGCTGCTCCCTCTCCTTGTGCAGGGTGACTAAGAGAGCATATTAATGATTTAGTGCACATCATTAAAAGGCGAAGTGCACCTTCTGCAAAATAGAGTAAATTAAATCAACATTGATATAATTAAAATTGTGCATTTACATTTTTTGCATTCAGGCCTGCAGAGCATTGCAACCACGGTCAGTGCATTGTGGGAGCAATGAACAGGCCCCTTGCAAAGCTTTCCCCTAGCTTCTAAATCATTTGGATTTTACAGCTGAACTCTGGGATAAGAAAATAATTGTTTATTGGGTATTCTTCTTTAATCTTGGTGAGCTTTGTGTATTTCTTCCAGATCTGTGCAGTAACACGGGAGCTTCCTGTAATAAAGACCGCTCACTGCTGCTCTCTCTCCTTGTGCAGGGTGACTAAGAGAGCATATTAATGATTTAGTGCACATCATTAAAAGGCGAAGTGCACCTTCTGCAAAATAGAGTAAATTAAATCAACATTGATATAATTAAAATTGTGCATTTACAACATTTTTGCATTGAGGCCTGCAGAGCATTGCAACCACGGTCAGTGCATTGTGGGTGCAATGAACAGGCCCCTTGCAAAGCTTTCCCCCAGCTTCAGGTCTGTATGGAGATATGGTCCTGACAGGAGGAAGTGCCAATGAACTAAAGAGCAGTGAGGGAGGACGGATCCCCAGCGATGGCCACAATGGCAGATAGGACTATTAGAAGAATGTAAACAATAAGAAACCTGAATGAAGGGGCTGTTCTCGTCTATGTGAAAGGGTAACCTCGACTGCAGACAGAAATTCTTCCTGCCACTTCTCTCAGAGGTTTGACAAGCCGTATCAGAGTTACGATACTGGAGGAATTTGTTTGCAGCCCCAATCAACCTTGCATATACACTGTCAAATAAATTGTGAGCAGCACAGGAAAGGGACTGATCTCTGCTTTTATTATATGTAAACAAATGAGAGCAGATCAGTCGTCAGATATTCCAGCACATTCTCTGCTGTGGTTTCAAACCCTTTCTGGAAGTCGATCTCTGCCGTGTGCTTTCCCTTCTCTGACAGTAGTTCTCTTCTTCTCTATTACAGACTTTTTTCGGTTGCCTTTTATAAAAACTCTGAGGTACATGGCAGATGGGGACAGGAGCGGAGCAGGAATAGGGGACATTAGATAGCGAGAGGAAGGGCATAGTGGGTAGAGCCACTACACAGGCTCCTAAAACTACAGCAGCATTGTTCAACTGCAAAGGGCATTGACATGACCAGTTGCCCTGCTCACAGAGTTGCTGAGATGGCAAAGGTAAGCTTATTTCTGCATTATCTTCCATCTGCCCAGACTTCAGTCTTAAAGTGAACCTGTGCTTTTCCGAATTCAGGGCAAAGCAACAAGTTCAGTTTAAACCCCCCCCCCCCTTCCCGGCAGGTAATAGTTGTGCTGCTTTTGCTCCATCACCACTCTAGTCAGTCGACGGGAATGATAAAAGGAATTCATTTGTAAGCCCTAGTCGATGCTTACAAAAGGCTGACTGTATTACCCCCATGTGATAGCACCAAGCCTATCACCATGTACAGTACAGTTAAATTAGTCAAAAGGGGGATGAGTCACATGCTCATCCATGTCATGAAGGAATAGGTATTTTCTTTTCCCAGGGGGCTAAACAGAGATGCAGGGAAGCAAAAGAAAATAAGAATGTGGAGCTTGGAAGGGGGGCATACCACAAGCAAAGCACAGGTTTGCTTCATTGTGCATAGGGTGGGCTATACACTGCCGTAAATGTAGAATGTTTTCCTTACATTTAGATTTGGTGGTGTTCCTTTGTTTACTCCAGCAACTCCAATCATGGATGATGTCAGCAACTTGGCGACTCCTTGCGTTCCTTTTCCAGAGTCTTGCAGCGCCATTAAGGTCAACTTTTGAGATGGGTGAGTGGGCTTCTTGGCAGGAACAGCAGCCGGATTACGCAGGAGAGATGGTGGTGACTGGTTGACAGAGACAATGTTGTTTAGGCCAATCGTGTTCCCTGAGATACTGGGTTGAGAAACTGGGAGCCTTGGCACAGCTGGTCTGTAGGTTGGAGTTACCATTGTGCTGCTGCTGACGGGGTGCTTTCCTAACAAACTTGGGGATACCACAGGCTTGTGATGGTTGCCTACGTTAGATGGTGGAGAAGTAAAAGCCTGGGGTTTGGGAGACTTGGTTTGTGGGGTGGGAGGCCTCTGTGGAGGTGATGGGGCTGTAACTCTGGGACCACTACTCTGGCTCTGAGGTGTGAAGCTTCCCTTAATGTGCTGGCTGTTCATGTGGTAGAGCTTCACTGAGGGCTGCAGAGACGGGTTGGCGACCTGGTTGATCTTCACCTGCACATGCGCCTGCTGCTGTGGCTTTTGCAGGACTTCAGACATCATCTTTGAACTGTGGACCTGCATTGGCTGCTTCTTCTCCAGGACCGGTGATGGTTTGTCATTAAAGTTTGGTGGCCGTGCTGACGTATGGGATATGTTTACTATAGATACGGCTGGAGGGGTCTTTTTCTCCTCTGCGGTTTTCTCAAGCACGGACGATTTGGGGACAGGGAAATCAAAGGCCGATGTGCGGTTGGACAGGACGTTTAAGTGTTCCGATACAGCATCTAGAGATGGGGGGTTGCGGATGAGATCTCCATCCAGGGAGTTGTCCTGGTTGTAGGTAGAACATGGAGACCCACTGGTAGAGAAGACAGGAGCTGCTGGACTGCTTTTAGTAGAAAGCGTTGAGGAGACGGGTGCTCCCTGGACCTCCACAGGGGAAGGAGGTACAGTCCTCTCTGCCTTGCTTGAAGATTCCTACCACAAAATTAGAATTGTTAAAAGGGCAATTCAAATGCTTAAGCTGCTACAAAAAAGTACTGCTTCATAATATATACACAGAATTTAAAAAGCAAATTATAATACTTCACTGTATTTAAAAAAAAAGTACATCTAAGGCTGGGCACACACCTTACAACCATCGCAAGACTTCTGTCTTGCGATGGTTGTAAGGTACTTAAAAAAACGTATGATCTGCCTGTGTTGCATAGGCAGATCGTACTTGCGATGATCGCAAGCCACGCCCCCTGAGGGGCGGGCTTCCGATGACCGCAATGCCGAACGGGCAGTATGTGCTTGCGCACACCGGCCCGTGCGGCTGTTATCGTACGGACATGCCACAAACCCGCCGAACATCGTACGATACTCGGCGGGTTTTCGAACATGTCCGTAAGTTTAAAGTCGTGCGACCTTACAGTAGTAGAGGTCGCACGGCTTCCACACACCTTACGATCATCGTACGATCTCGGGATTTCCCGCGATTATCGTACGATAATCGTAAGGTGTGTGGGGACCCTAAGGCCTCATTCACATGATAATAGGCCGGCACATACAGCTACGTGCATAGTCGTATCGGGCAGCTCCCGGGAAGGACAGGTGCTGTGTGTGATTAGAACGCAGCCCCTGTCCTTCTCTAAGAGACTACGCGGCCGTACGCAGGTCTGTACGGGTGTCCCGGCTCGAACCCAGACAGGATCCATCCTGTCAGCGTACTAGTACGGACACCCGCACGGACATGCAGGTGAGCGCAGGGCGGCGTACGGCAGCATTCTCCCATAGAGAAGGACAGGCGCTGCGTACTAATCACACACAACACCTGTCCTTCCCGGGAGCTGGCTGATAAGACTGCACGCAGCACGGAGCAGTACGTGCCAGGCCTTTTCTCTTGTGAATGAGGCCTGAAGCCCAAACTCCAATTTTGGATTAGGTAGGAAATGGTTAAAACCAGTCAGGTTTGTTTTTTTTGTCACCCATCTGTTTCCCATTAGAGATTTCCCTTCATGTTCTTTCCTTTAGACACAACAGGTCATTTTTGCCAAAGTTACAGTTATTAGAACAAGTGCCACAATTGGAAGACTTTGCCCTCTATTCATGTTCTGGTGACTACTCAAGATTTTCCATTATCCCTCGCACAGTCACTAGGGGACACATCACCATGCAGCCTGGGCGCACAATACTCCAGGACTGAATGGCTCTCGTACAGCATTATACAAGCGTTGTTTAGTCCAAGGAGAATGCCCGCTGCAGGAAGAAGATGAAGCTGCCATGATGTCACAGGACTGCAAGAAAAAAAAAAAGTTATGTATAGGTGTTCTTTTAAAGCTAAAAATACACCGGGGGGGGTCGAAATGCCGGCGTTCTGCTTTCAATACAGGACAAAGGATTAAAACTGTAGTATGGGTTATCGAAAAATAAGCACAAGGCTACTACAAGGCAGAGGGGAAAAAAAAAAGACAATAAAGTACACTGATATTTTATATTACCTTTACTTTTACTTTAGAGGGAGGCGTTGGTTTGTTCTTTGCCCTGTTAGAGAAATAGTGACAAGAGTTAAAGTGGAATTCCAGGTTAAAACTATAAATAATTGAACATCTAACTATTCATATTTTATGAATAGTTAGATGAATAGAATAGAATTCATATTTTAGTGAGAAAGATAACAACTTTCCCAAGTTTTTATTTAATCCATAGCAGTCAGATTTCAATGAACTGAAAGCCGCTGTCTCATTAGGGCTCATGCAAAAGCCCGGTCCCACACAATGCAAGTACGGCTGCCCTGGAGCCACAGGAGCTGCGTACAGACTCCCATAACCCCTGACTGAACACAGGTATGCATCAGACTAGCGTAAAACGTGCATACAGATATCCCAGTGCAAGGTGGAACTTCTCCCACTGACCAAACATCTACAGGGGCCCTTCTCCATTCACCACCAACATAAATGGGCGTTTTTCCAATGACTAATTAAAAGAGCAGTACAATTTACATGGCCTGTGTATCTTTTCTGACCATAATTTGTTTCATGTCATTATTATTACTGCAAAAAAAAAATTGCCCTACAGAGCACTGGGTATCAAATACATTTCTTTTATTTATTCTTACATTCACAACTTAATGTCACCACTAATGCATTGCGAGCCGTAGATCTAGTAATCATTAGCAGGGGTTTATTATTTATAAAGTTATTCTAAGGGTTCCTTTGGGATAAAAAAAGTTCAGAAAGGCTGGTTTAAGTTGTACCACTTAGCTCCACTCCCTCTCAGTATGTACGCTGGCATGTATGGTGGCATTTTGGAAATTCCCGGCTTGCTCAAAACGCAGGCTTAAAGTGACACTAAACTCTGGAGTTAAATCTTAAAAATGCATCCAAGGACCTTAACCCTTTTCAAAAATGTATCTTATTTGTGTATCACTCGGCTGTAGATGCTCCAATCATCTCTGAATTGGTGCTGACACTGTCCTTCCTTCTGGAGGGGGGCTACTTATGTTCCCCATGGTCCCTATGTGTGTTGTAAAGTAGTCACCGCTCCAAGATCGCTCTTATGATGGACTACAACCTCATGTTTAGTTTACTGATTTGTATTGAGATTGTAGTCCGGGGAGTGAGCTTGGAGCGGTGACTACTTTACAACACACACACAGGGACCATGGGGAACAAAAGTAGCCCCCCTCCAGAAGGAAGGGCAGTGTCAGTACCAATTCAGATGATTGATACAAATAAGATACATTTTTGTTGATAGTTAAGGTACTTGGATGCATTTTTAAGATTTAACTCCTGAGTTTAGTGTCACTTTAATCACACATGTACATGCAAGACTCGAATAGTAACATGTGCAGTGTGCCTTCTGCAGGTGTTGACCACAGAGCATTTGCAATATTACATGGACTCAACAGCAATCAATGAAGGTGCTGCAATGAAGGTTATATGTTCAACTTACATTATAGAGCTGAGATGCGGGTACAGACGTCTGCTTTCATTAAAGAGAGTTCTGAAATGACACAAAATATACAGATACGTGAAAAGGAATTTACATTTTTGGCTGACAAACGTAGTATCTAAGTACTGGCGATTTAATAAGAGTAAAAACACGTTAAAATAATCAGTAGATACAAAAACACAGGAAACTGAAGTTATATGCCAATCTAAACTTTTCCTGTTGAGGCCAAGCTTGGTCTCACCCTTTCCTGTCGCCTTAGTCACTGAAACCACCCATCACATTACAGACCAATGGGAAGACTTGGGAAGAGGGAAAGTTTAGGTCATCTTGTGCCAATCCCATTGTGTGTATTTCTGGAATGACTGTTTGTTTTGACACACTTGATTACTGAAGGCAGCCTCTGCTATTGCATCTAATATGTCATGAATAAAATGCCCAGGTTTGCATCACGTTTACTTCAAGTCATTATGAAGCAGCCATGATGAAAGAAATAACACTGTCCTGCCTTTGCTTCACATACCGGGCCTGCATCCAGCCTCGGGGCCAGATAGGTTTCACCTCGGTATCCAGGAAAGACTTGAAATAATCTTCCAGGCTCAGCATACCACCACTGCCCTCTGGTTCAAACATGTCCATCTTTATACGGACTAGTTGGCTCAGGAGCTGCCTGTGGAGAGAAGAGACGAGAGTCAGTGAAACAGCTGCACATCTACACTCCATAACTTGAATTCCAATTGAAGTCTGACACTTATCTCTTTATAGCTCTGTACCCCAGTGTGATTTTACATTGGAAGTGCGCTAAACTAGTCCCCTTATTCTCGAAATTACTTAATGCTGTACCCCAGGGGACAAAATGCTTGCAGTACTTTGTCTTGCTTTAATAGGTGCAGTGATTCTATAGCTACTGTGATCAACAGAGCCCACCCTGCTGTTTGACCACGCTGCTTTGTAGGAGACCGATAATAATTTATTAGCGCTGATTGATGGCACTTGTCCTGGGCACCAAGCACTTGCCGAGTCCAGCACTGTCACAACACAAGCAGAGGGAGTGGGCATGTAAGAGTGACTGCCTGGAAAACATCCACATGCACACTTCCTAGCAGAAGAGAACAGAAGCAAGGGAGCTTTGTCTGAGCTTAACAATAGGAATGCTCACAAATCAGGTTTGTGGCAAGGGAGAAGCTGACAGGCAGAAACGGAAGAAGTAAAGAAGATATTTTCTACACAATCCTTTAGCATTTTATTTGGAGAAGCAAATAAAAGGTATTTCTCCATGAACGTATAGACCAGCGTTCTAAATTTCAATGCTCAGGAGACATCTCGCATTACATACTTTTCCTCAGTCCATGAAGCCATGATTTGACAAGTTTGGTGCGGAGGAACAAGCGTGACCTGCACAGAGCACTGACCTCAACCCTACTGAACACCCTTGGGATGATATGGAATGCCCATTGCCATCTAGGTCTTCTCATCCAACATCAGTACCTGACCTCACAAATGATCTTCTGGCTGACTGGGCACAAATTTCCACAGATACACTCTTAAATCTTGTGGAAAGCCATCCCCAAAAAGTTGATGCTGTTCTATTATTAAAAGGGGAGGGGAATAATGCCCATGATTTTGTAATAGGATGTCCACAAACTTGGAGAATATATGTAGAATCACCTTGGATCCCATTATTGGTCCTCCCTATGCACCTGTACAGCATGAGTTGCGGGACCTTCACTATTCATTTTTGCTATATGTATCTAATCATTGTGCCTTCAGTCAAAATGATCCCCACCTGATCTCCTCCGTCCACTGAAACTTCTTGCGAGGCCCAGCGGGTTTCCTGCTGCCCTTGTCTTCTTCCTCTTCCTCTTCCGAATGGGCCTTCTGCTCCTTGTCGCCTGCCAGCATTCTAGGGAAAATAAAAGTAGATCAAGGAGAAAAATTCTCAGCAAGTAGGCTTTAAGGTGCCAACGAAAATTCCCAATGCATTTGATACTCTCCGAGAGTCGCACAGAATGTTTCACCTGCAGCGTCACCTGGTGGTGAAACTGCTATGGAGCCAAAACTAGATAGAGGCATTCCCTCTTGAATCTCAGCGATAGGACTTCTGCACTCGAAACAATGTAAACAACATGGGAATCCCTATGTTACAGCAAGGCGAGTGGAGCAAAGATTGTGACACAGAGGATATAAGTATGATAAATAGTAGGGATGCACCGATCTGTCGGCCGAAAATGGCACTTTTGGCAAAATGCAGAAAATGCAATTTTCTGGCCGATATAGCGGCACATCTATCCTATTCCCTCCTCCCCGATGGGCACTGCTCTGTGTCCCAGCGGAGAGGAGAGAAACTGTCACAGGCGGCCGAGCGCTGCGGAAGGAGAGCGATGTGAGCGTCTCTCCTCACACACCGCTCAGCCTCCCGTCACAGTCCGGCAGAGCGGTGTGGGGGCGGAGACAGCCCGCGCTGTCACAGGAGGCTGAGCGGGTACAAGCAGTCAGTGATAGCTGAGTGTTTGCACATAATTGAGGACAGAGTATGTTTACTATATCCCCAATTATGAATGAATGAAAGTGATCTACAGCACTTCCTGTTCATTCACGATTGTGGTTATAGTAGACACTCTGTCCTCATGTTATGAATGAACAGGAACACTCACTATAGAGGATTCCTGATCATTGATAATAGGGGCTGCAGAAAAAGAGATTGAGGACTCTGTGTCCTCAATCTTTTTCTAATTTTAGACCCATAATATTTCCCCGAAGCCACTAAATGTAAAAGGAAAAAATAAAAATATTTAATAAAAATGAATAAAATATAAAAAAAATTAAAACATTTATAAAACAAATAAAGATATTAAATTTTTTTGAAAAAGTTAAAATTTAAAAAAAAAAAAAAACATTTTCGGTTTCGGCCTGAAATTTTCTTTCATTTCGGTTTCGTAATTTTCATTTTTTGCACACCTCTAATAAATAGAAAACCCTCCATTAGATGATCCAAACAAGTATTTCTGCTACACATGGATTCTAACAGGCTGAATCACCCCCGACTGCTTAAAGCGAAGGTTTCCTCTGCTCATATTTGACCAGTCCCAGATCCTCCCTCACTATGCAATGCATATACTGTATATATGGGATATATGAATAATGCATTTAGCAAAAACGAAATACAAATGTGCTGTTGCATCCATGAGTTTGTTTTGTTATTATTTTCACAAATCCACATTATGTAGAAGTGATATTGACAACTGAAAAGCTGCCTAGCTACGTCTACGGGGCTTCGCAGTTCTCAAATGTGAATATTGACAACCCTCCAGATCATGAAGTCTGGTCAGAGCCGAGGTTTCAGCCCTGAGCTTTTATGGCGTCACAGAGGAGACATAAAGGATCTATTTACGCTTCTGATGTCTCCATAAAAAAAAAAAAGTCACGATGTTATGCTGCATCTTAGCGGGCATGTCAGTCCCCTTTTGATATAAAAAAGAAAGGTATTACGCTCACACAATACCAGATGCTTGCATTATACATAGAGCCCTACGTCTGCAAAGTGGTCTCTTACTTGGCATATTTTGCTTCATTGTAGATTTTAAAATCTTTGTTGTACTTGTTGATCTGTTCCGGCATTGCCTGCAATACAGCATCCTTCAGCTTCCGTAGCGGCTCTTGCAACCGGCCGCCCTGCTGAGAAAAAAACCCAGAAAAGTCGAATACTTGAGGGATTTCACGTTGAGGAGACTAAAGCTTATCATCTTATCCAGTTTTCCTAGATTTTCTCCAACCCCCACCAATGTCTTTGGATTTAATTACAGAAAGGAAAGGGCCACTGGCACTGCAGAATGCTGATCAAAACACCTTTATTGATGCATGCTCAGTATCACATAATCGGAGCCACGCAGGGTCTCCATCAGGCAAAACAGTGATGATCATCAATTTGTCACTTGCAGCACCCACCTATTACAAAAGGGACTTACCGGTCAGGAGTGTGATGGGATTTGGACATTAATCTGATCTTGGATTTAACTACAATCACAGACTTGCCCGGACTATAGAAATTGAACCTTGCGGCTTTCCTGTGACCAAGTGGCTAAGCATTACATGATTTCTGCTAAAGGGGAGGGGCAGCCAATTTGAACTCTGAACTCCCTTTTAAGCAAAATCAGACTGCCTTCAGGCCCATTCACCCCCGGTGTTCTGCAGTAATGGGTGCAGTACTGCACACCTTACCACTGCGCACTGCAGCATGACCTGTATGTGTGCTGCCATTCATTTTAAATGGCACTCACACAAATATGTGTGCTGCTGTATTGAAAATACTACAAGAGTGATTTCTACAGCATTGGTGCCCTTAAAAAATGGTGCCTCAACATACAATAAAGCGCAGTTCAGAGCGTGCATTACTAGTAAGGGTAATCTCCATTGAGCTGGATCACTGATTTTGCAAGTAATATACAAGTAAGCACAAGAAAATGTTAAGCCTTTGCGGAAGATTGCTTTGATTCTACACAATATCGCCACTCTGAAACGGTTGCGGAGGACGGTGATTGGTTACCTGTTTGTGTAGGTAGAGGCGGCTGGCCCATTTCACAAGTGTGTCTTTGCTGCAGGGGAGGACGGAGGACAGGTGGGTAAAGACCGCAGAGCGAAGAGCAGGGCTGACGTCCCGAGACAACAGATAAATGCTACAGGAGACAAAAGAGAGGGCAGTTGGTTTGGAATCATATGTACCCATGGTAGAGGCAGATAGACAAAAAATGGGTGGAGAGTTAGAAAGAAAAAGGAAAAAAGAAATAGAAAAAGGAGAGGAAAAGAAAAATAAAGGAGAAAAGAAAAACAAAGGGGTAGGGGGTTTAGAAAAAAATATGAAAAGAAAAAAAAGGAAAAAGGAAGAGTAAAATGAAGAGAAAGGAAATTATTATTATTATTATTACATAGTATTTATATAGCGCCAACAGTTTGCGCAGCGCTTTACAATATATGGAAGACAGAACAGTTACAATACAATTCAAGACAAGATGGTAAGGAGGGCCCTGCCCCTGAGGGCTTACAATCTAAAAGAGGAGGGGGAAATGATACATGAAAAAGGAAAACAAAGAAAGAAAAAAGGAAAGGAAAAAGAGAAAGGAAAAGAAAGGCAAAGGAAATTTAAATAGAAAGGAAAAGCAAAAAAAAAAAAAGGAGGAGGAGAAAGAAAAAAGGAAAAGAAAGGAAAAGGAAATAAAGAAAAGGGCGATATAGAGACAAACAAGAGGAAGGAGAAGACAAAAATCTTGGGAGAGACAGAAAAAAAGAGACCGATACATAGAGAGTTGGGGAGGGTCATTACCTCTGTCAGGTTTTCATTGATTCCCATTGCAAGGGGAAGATTTCATTTTACTTCCTGTCTCAGTGACTACACAGGAAAAAAGAGAAGTCTCCTCGGGATGAGGACAAACCACAACGAAAACCCGACAGAGCACCTTTCACCACTCCTGTAAAGCTTTTATCGTCGTCTGTGCCCCTATTAGAGAGATCAGTAAATTGGATTTCTCAGTTGCACACCATAGTGTGATTAAGCACCTCAAAGTGTGTGATGAATGGCGCAGAAATTGTACACCAGCACACTGGCGTTTTTCTGTCAGACATTACGTAAGCAGTCACACTTGCAGGTCTTCAGCAATGGAACAGCGACTGCATTAATGAAAGGTAATCTGTGCGGCCCTAAAAACATTGCTTGAAGATATGGTGACTATGTCAATAAAACTATGATGGAGAGATGCCCCCTTGTTCCTTGTTTTGGCATCAAGTCTGCCGCTTCCCCCCACAATGAGCGCAGGCAGCAGTTTGCAGACACTTGCACTGCAGAATCGTCTCTTTGACAGCAAGGATGGGATGAGAAATGGATTTACAGAGTAACTGAAGATGATACTCACTCCAAAAGTGCATTATTCATTTTCCCGGTAAACAAAATGGTTTTCTTGTCACCCTCTGACGCTCGCACAGCCTGAAACAAGATTGGCGACAATGGTTTAGAATTTACCAGTTTAACAAACGCTCTACCCAGCGCTACTTCAAAATGTATGTCACCCCAAAATTTCCCTTGCAAGATCTAGTCATCATTCCCCCGGATCCGCAGGCTACGTTTTTAAAAAGGTTCATGTACATATATAAAAACGTAGCCTGCTGACCATTTCACAGTCTTTGGAAAAACATCTGGGGATCATGCCAATCTCCCTTTTTTGCTATTGCAATCTGACTACACCAAGCACGGAAGCGGATCTTTGTACATGCGTGGTCAGCTTCAGTCCTTTGGATGGCTGTTAGGAGAGAGAGGACGCCGTGCTAACACGCACCGTGCCCGTGTCTCCTGTAGTCAGGTTTTTTCAAAATGTGGAAATACAAAATAAAAAAAATTAAAATAAATGACTTTTAGGTAAATGTGGACAGTGCATACCAGTGTCAGCTCTTTGATCTTCACTTCAAGAGAAGCTGGCAGGCCATCTGGCATGGACGGTGGTTTCTTGAACTCTGCTGCAGGTGCCATCACTATGCTGCCCGTCCCTTTCTCTAGTGGAAGATTGAGCAAGTTCTCCAAGTCTTTCTCGCTCAGGGCGTCTAAGGCGCTGGCAGCTTGGAGGAGCTCCGTCTCTGACATGATGGTGGAAAATAGCGGGTCTGGAGCTGGCTCAGCCTCTCGCGGTGGAGGATGGGGCAGGCCTGGCACTGCAGAGGACACAGAGGGAGCCTTCGGCGCCGCACTGACGACAGTGGCCACAGATTTGGTTTTCTCCGCTTCTTTTTCTCGCGCGAACCTGGCCAGCATCTCATTCACGTCTAAAGCTGGTTTCTTCTTCTTTTTGTCCTTGGCGCCATTTAATGCTGTGAATCTAAAACAGATGCAGAACTTAGTGATCATGAATGACAATCAGCAGTATAGGACGCTACAATAGTTATTTCTCAGTTTTGTGATGGGAGTCAAGACTTGGGGCAGGCTCTGCACCAGAAAAAGACTATCATTATTTCTGGGAACAATAAGCTACCTGTGCACTTGTTGGGTGGGGTAATCCATTGGCCTAGCTTGTCACACAAAGCTGAGCAGTACTTTGGCAGGAATGAAGAGATAAGTGTATATGAAATTTGCAGTAATAACTTAGCAGAAGCCAGAAGTCCAAAAAACAAACCCTACATTGGTTCATCACCATGTAGAACCTGCTCATCAAGGTGACAGACCACGCACCGAATGGGTCCTATACAGCCCCTAAAGTATAGATTTTGTGCTTAAACTGGATGTAAACCCAAATAAACTTATTGTATTTGCACCCCTTTTAAATATTCTGAATATACAATTGAAAATGTTTTGTTAGATCAGTTTGATAAGTGCAGAAACATACCGGTGTACCCTGCCAGAATCCTTGTGAACTTTCCAAGCTCTCTACTTGTGCCAAGTTTTATCAGCTTTCCATTGTTGCAGCCTTGAGAATTCTGGTTCCCCCTGATGATTAATGCGTGCAACCGTCTTGTCTGAATCTAGACAGGATGACCCTCCAGTAGGAAGGTCCAGTGCTTTACAGGAACTCAAATAGCCCAAAGTTCAAACAAAACTCATCACAACCCGACCCCCTGCACCAGCAGGGTACCCAGGACTTCTTTTGCAAGCTTGACAGGCTGGAATCAATTGTGAGCATTCTCCAAAAGGCGGGAAAGAAGGACTTTGACTCCAGAGCTGGATTCCACAGTCACTGGGCCAGGTATATCTTGGTGCGGGAGAGAGAAGACTTTGTAGTGGGATAGGTGCTCCTGCCACCAGTAGCATCCTTGACAATGTTGTCAAGAGTTGGTCCAAAAAAACGCCGCCCCTCGAAATCAAGGAGGATCAAATGTTTTTTTACACAAGGGTTCCGCGGTCCAGAACATGCACAGATGAACTGAGACAATCAAAATGTGAAGGGAGGCTTCTTGCAAACCATCAAAGACATTTAGTGATACAGCCATCTGCTCCATGTGCCCTATAAATGAGGGCATCAACCATGGCAGCAGCAAGATCTCGTAAGGGATTTTGACCAGTCAAACGTGGTCTGACAATGTAAGGTCACAGCTAACAACAGAGCTCTGGAAAGGGCTTCCAAAACATATGAGTCCTTATAGACAAGCGTGTTGTCTACTGGAATAGTTAGCATCTTGTGCTAGATTCACAGTGGGAATAGACAAAATCGTCACTAAATGGATACAAGGCTTAGAAGTGTGTAAAAGGGAAAATCTTTGTGACTTTAGCAATGATCCATGACTGGAAACAGCACTGGTAGAAGCAACAGGCTGATCCTTAGTTTCAGAATGGTGCTCATTGCATCAATAAGAGAAGAGCTGTGCAAAAGATGACCATTCTCCAAAATGGAGGCATGCTGGTAATGGAAGGAAGTATACTGGGCTGGCCCATACTTTTGTCTGTCAGTGTCCAGTCCTCCAGTGGGCAGCATTATAACCCAAAGGTTTAAGACCGTGTCCCTCAATGAATTAAGTAAATGGGTGCTGCCGTATTACAGCAACTGCCCTCTCATGTTCCAACTGCTCTCCCAAAGCGGGAAATAATACCACTCGACAGGAAGACATGAGCAAAATGCTCCAGTAAGCATTTGCTCAGTACAGATGCAGGTAGTCTATGCTTTGCTCTGCAGCTACCCATTTACAAATCCCCTTCACATTTTGCGTTTCTATGAGCGGTCTATGTGAACCCGGCCTAATAGTAAAAATTCACATATTCATGGTTATAGGTTGAAGACTTCATTCTCTTACCCGGGCTTTGGGTGTTTATTTTTCTTTCCTTTTTTCTCCTCTTCTCTCTTCTTCTTTTTCATTTTCTCTCCTCTCTCCTTCATTTTCTGCATGATAAATCAGATATAAGATCAGGTTTTAAAAAAGTCCCCTCCCCCTTATCACAGTGCTAAAGTAAGGACTTAACTTAAATGATGTCTCGTAATCCAATCTTCTTTACTGTCCTTTTCAGCTGCCCCTCCAGCGCTGGTGCGGGTCTCCGATCCAGCGCTGACTCCGCTGTCCTCCTCTACTCTGATGTCCCACGGAGAGTGTGCGGGTGCACGCTGCTCCATAGACTTACCTTGTGTCTCTCCTTGTCTCCCGGTCGAACATCTGAACTGTGTATGCGCCCGCCCCAAGATCCTTTTTCGCCCGCCCGAGAAATTTTCAGATGTTTTCCGACGGGAGCGAGCAGCGGATACTCAGGTATGTATTAACCCATTCAAAAAGTTTTTTTTTTTTTTTAATCGTTTTGCATATATCTACTGCTTGCTAGACATAGATATATGCAAAAACAAATGAGGGTTTAATAACCCCCATCATTCTGTTTTTTTTTCTTCCCCCTTACCTTGTTTGCTGGGTTATCCTCTATAAAAATACTCTCATGCTTAGTGAATCCAGCGTTGTCCTGATGTGATCTATCACTCCGCTGGTGCACACAGTCCTGCACCACCATCTTTTCTTCTTATGTCATCGGGAACTGGCTGTCTCTTTCCTGATTCTGGGCTATTTTGATCCCCAAAGCTCTGGTACTGTTAGTGTGAGAGGTTACCTGCCATTGAGGCATCCTCTCACATGGATGGGCCAATAGTGTGGTAGGGAGGATACAGCAGGCAAACCTCAACCCAACAGGAAGTGTTGTAACTTTGCGGATCAGAATAGCTCGACATTTACTTTTTAGGGACTGAAGTCATTTTAATGCTTTTAGCTAAATCCATTTCAGAGTAGGAAGACCGCTGGTCATTTTTGGTGTAGAGCTTATGGTATAGAGGGTGATGATCATGCAAAAACACATTCATGTGAAAGCTGAAGGGTGATGTATTACTGCAGTCTCTTACACCCTTTATAAAGAAGTACCAGCAGCAAAACGCTCTCCTCCTAGTCTGTCAATCTCCAGGCCAGAGCTTCTACACTAAACAAGTCCTACTATATTAAAGCCCATCTCCAGGCAAACAAAAAAATTACCCTAGCAGTGGGGCTACCCCGGCACTGCAAGGGTTAAGTGCTCGATTTTTGTCTAGGGGACTGGAAGAAAGCATACTTACTTAGCTGATCCCTGCTCCCTTTGGTTTCCTCAGGGTTGCTAGACCTGTCCCTGCCTCTTCTCCCTGGCGGTCTAAGGACTGTTGACATCACCACATCTAATTGAGGTTTCATAGACTTGCATTAGACACGAGGATGCGGAGGGACATTCCACCAGCAGAGTCAGTGGGGGAAACCGGGGTTCAGGTAAGTAAATCTGCTTTACGCCAGCCTCTAGACAAAAAAGAAGCACTTATTCCTTGCAGTGTGGGGGGCAGCCCCATTGCAAGGGTACTTTTTTTGTTTGCACGGAGATGGGCTTAAACCAACTTTTTACACCATCATTAAGGAAGGTGAAGAGGATGAACGCACCTTTGGGGATTTCTTTTTCTTCTCTTTGACAAATTCATCGTCCGAATCAGAGGCTTGTCTGAACTGCAGTGTTCCAGAATTGATGTAAAATCCGCCATACTTTGTGGTCAGCGATGCCGGGACAAGTTCATCGTACTATAGAGAGGAAGAGACGAGCAATTAAGTACTGCACACCACATATATCCCTTATCCTGTGTTTCTACTGCACTGGAATATTACAATGCCCCAGCCCCTACCCTCAAAAGATCTGACAGCTATAGGCCCTTCCACAATTGTACAGACAGGCACATCAGACAACTTACTAGAATGTTGTTAAGATACTAAAGGAGACTGTAGCACAAACATGGAAATAATATACAAACTCAGGGCCTGAAAGCTGAATAGTAAGAGTACAAACCAGTTAAACTCAGCACCAGTATGGAATAACCATAAGTGTTGGTGTGACGGCAACAGGCAGGAGCTCTGGGGCAATACTCTGGTCAGAGACACCGGCTCATGTCATCACCCCCTCACCATGGAGCACAGTGACCTTTGAATCCAACATGCTATAAAGGTGGTTGCAGCATTTTGTACCACTCTGTCGCCTGTATAAAGCTGCAGCTTCAGTCTCTTCATGCAGATGCCTTAAAAGAACTGATAAGCCAAATTTGGATGGAAAATTGGATGGGTTGCATGTCCTTCACAAGAGCTGCTGGGATCACTACAGACATCAGATCCAATTCCTGCACCTTTACCCCTCAGATCAGCCCCAATTCCTGCACCTTCCCCCCTCAGATCATCCCCAATTCCTGCACCTCCACCCCCTCAGATCAGCCCCAATTCCTGCACCTTCCCCCCTCAGATCATCCCCAATTCCTGCACCTCCACCCCCTCAGATCAGCCCCAATTCCTGCACCTTCCCCCCTCAGATCATCCCCAATTCCTGCACCTCCACCCCCTCAGATCAGCCCCAATTCCTGCACCTTCCCCCCTCAGATCATCCCCAATTCCTGCACCTCCACCCCCTCAGATCAGCCCCAATTCCTGCACCTTCCCCCCTCAGATCATCCCCAATTCCTGCACCTCCACCCCCTCAGATCAGCCCCAATTCCTGCACCTTCCCCCCTCAGATCATCCCCAATTCCTGCACCTCCACCCCCTCAGATCAGCCCCAATTCCTGCACCTTCCCCCCTCAGATCATCCCCAATTCCTGCACCTCCACCCCCTCAGATCAGCCCCAATTCCTGCACCTTCCCCCCTCAGATCATCCCCAATTCCTGCACCTCCACCCCCTCAGATCAGCCCCAATTCCTGCACCTTCCCCCCTCAGATCATCCCCAATTCCTGCACCTCCACCCCCTCAGATCAGCCCCAATTCCTGCACCTTCCCCCCTCAGATCATCCCCAATTCCTGCACCTCCACCCCCTCAGATCAGCCCCAATTCCTGCACCTTCCCCCCTCAGATCATCCCCAATTCCTGCACCTCCACCCCCTCAGATCAGCCCCAATTCCTGCACCTTCCCCCCTCAGATCATCCCCAATTCCTGCACCTCCACCCCCTCAGATCAGCCCCAATTCCTGCACCTTCCCCCCTCAGATCATCCCCAATTCCTGCACCTCCACCCCCTCAGATCAGCCCCAATTCCTGCACCTTCCCCCCTCAGATCATCCCCAATTCCTGCACCTCCACCCCCTCAGATCAGCCCCAATTCCTGCACCTTCCCCCCTCAGATCATCCCCAATTCCTGCACCTCCACCCCCTCAGATCAGCCCCAATTCCTGCACCTTCACCCCTCAGATCATCCCCAATTCCTGCACCTTCACCCATCAGATCAGCCCCAATTCCTGCACCTTCACTCCTCAAATCACCCCCAATTCCTGCACCTTCACCCCTCAGATCATCCCCAATTCCTGCACCTCCACTCCTCAGATCACCCCAATTCCCACCTTCAAACCTCAGATCAGCCCCAATTCTTGCATCTTCACACCTCAGATCAACCCCAATTCCTGCACCTTCACCCCTCAGATCAGCCCCAATTCCTGCACCTTCACCCCTCAGATCACCCCAATTCCTGCACCTTCACCCCTCAGATCATTCCCAATTCCTACACCTCAGATCAGACCCAATTCCTGCACCTTCAGACATCAGATTTGTAACCGACAGCCTGGTGCCTGTCCAAGAACATGTGTTGATCCCTGGTCTATACATACACTTTACTATGTCTTAAAAATAGGGCTATCCTTTCACTTGAAAGTTCTAGGAAAGCAGTGCACATACAGTAAACAAAGCGGAGACAACTGAAAATAAAAGGAAGTGGAGAATATTGGCTGTAAAGGACACAACCTTGTCTAAACTATAAGACTGCTCTGATAATATCACCGTGCTCTTTCCATTGCTGTGGCATCTCCTCTTCATCTCATCTAGCCTGTTTGTGTTTTCTAAGACTCCCTTGGGAGTGATTAGGATGCCGCAGTAATTGTCAAATGAAGGGGAATTTGAGTGGCATCTCCAGTAACGCGGATCCCTGGAGAGGATCGCACGTCTCTACAGGGGAACAATAAGATATGTTTAAGCACTAATTTATTTGTGCAAATATTCACGAAAACCGAAGGGGAATGCAATTTTCTGCTGGGCAAATGTTTTCATACAGATGTGGGTACAGAATGGAGCAAAACCATCTGAGGTACCAAGACAGACGGGCGTGCTTTTTAATCATCATCTTCCAAATGCTGCTGATTGGCAGATGATACAGGAGGTGTAAAATGACACAAATCATACATTTATTCAAAACCTCTTCTTATGTGCCCAAATGCCTTCTAACTCTTGGAATGTGGGGATGTTTTAGGGTAGGGGTTCGGGAACCTACGGCCCTCCAGCTGTGGTAAAACTACAAATCCCATGATGCATCTGTCTCTGGGAGTCATATCTGTGGCTGCCAGAATCTTGCAATGCCCCCATGGGATTTGTAGTTTCACCACAGCTGGAGGCTCCCAACCCCTGTTTTAGGGTAAAGACCGTGGCTCTGTTAAAAAAGGAGTGAGCCCGAGTAGCTTCAGACTAAATCAGTCCGCTCTACCTGAGAGTGATATCCCAGTAACAGGGGGAGTCGACAACAGGCCTCTTATACCTCTCGTAAACTCCCGTGAAAAAGATCTTGGCCATATTTTCTGTTTCTGCCCACCTTGGGGTTTTGAATGTCCCCATTAATGCTGGGGCCTTCCCACATCTTTTGCATTCTCCATTGCAATAAATCCCAAAAGTTTTCCTTTTATTTTAAAATTAAAATAATCCCCGGTGATCCATGAAGGTTCTTGTTCAGGAACTTCCTGTTAGAGGGTGACAACTGTCTCCCGACTGTGTTCCTGAACCGTCACCCTGCCCCATGCATGCCCAATGGAGCCTACAAGCAGCCATGTCAACAAGCATTGGGCAGGTGTGGTCCACCTTTCTTTGTCACTATCAGGAAGCCGGCCCAGAAGAATGACGTGCAGCCGACAATAGAGTGAGTGTATGTAGAGAGGACGTGGCTGAGGGAGATCAGCAGCAATGAGATATAAAAAGGATGAAAAAAAGATGAAAACAGATTCTGGAAAAAAAAACATGGAAGTAGCTTATGATGCACAGTGCTTTAGAAATGAAATGCCATCCAGTTAGGGTATAGATGTGCTTGCAAGCTGAAGTTTTAGCTGCTTATATTTTACCGTCGCTGGTTGGTCCCTCTACCAAATGTATCAAATATACTAAAAGGAATACCAATAAAAAAAAATATATATATATTTTTTCCATTATAGATGATTGACTCCGTGACATCATCACTGGGTCTCTGTGTAATGCAGGCAGGTGATGGCTGGTGGGAAGGGCAGCAGACCACCCCTAGGTAACATATACATGTATTGCTGAGCCTCCATGATTGACAGCACTGAAATCTAATTACTGAAAGCGGCAAGCAAGGGACAGTCAAGCTGGGGAGGAAAGAGCTAAAGGATGCAGATTGTCCAGCCAGGAAATGAGGTGGGCTCTATCTGACTTGCTGCAGCTTCTAATGCACAATATGAGAAGCTCACAGTGTGCAGTGATATCAGAGGAAGCAATTTCAGTCCTGGAGAGGAGCCGGTACAACTGTACAAGACTGAAGGCAAGGCCGGAGTTCAGATTTAAATTAGACCCGATCTGCATGGACCAATCTAAACTACTTACAGCCTCGGAGTTGTCAATAAAGGAATCGGAATCATCGTAGCCGTAGCCCATGTCTATCAGATCCTGCACACGATCTTTCCTCTTCTTCTTGTTGCTCTGGAAAGTAGCAAAACATTAACATGAATCCAATCCTGTGCTGCCTATAGATGCTTTATACTTAGAACTGGCATTGTGTTCTCTTTTTGTGTGAAGGGCAATATACAGATGATGGTGCTATGTAGAATTGTTTTCTTTTTAGGTTGAACTGGTAAAGGTTTGCTTTAAGGTTATTCAATAATTGAAGAGAATCTATTCCGGAACACTTGAAATCAGTGGGTGGTAAACAGATAATCCAATGTCAGCGGAGCAGCTTGCTTCAAGGTCATTGGCACAGGCGGAGCAAACTCTGGCATTGTGAAGAGTCTACAATTACATCATCTTAGACTGTAAAGACGGCCACACAGCACCTCTTGTATCACTGGCCCCTCCTTTTAGATTGTAAGCCCTCAGGGGCAGGGTCCTCCTTACCATCTTGTCTTGAATTTAGAGGTGCACCGAAATGGAAATGTTAAAACCAAAATAAAAAAAAAAATTCAGGCCGAAACCGAAAATGTTTATTTTTTTTTTTCAAATATTTTATTTGTATTTATTTTTTATAAACTTTTTAATGTTTTTATATTTGTATTTATTAATTCATTTTTTATTAAATATTTTTTACTTACTTTTTTGGGGCTTCGGGGAAATATTGGGGGTCTAAAACAGACCCCTGATATTTCCCTTTTAAAATAGAAAAAGAGACTTAGGACACAAAGTCCTCAGAGACACAAAGTCCTCTATCTCTATTTCTGTGTCCCCTGTTATCAATGAACAGGAATCCTCTATACTGAGTGTTCCTGTTCATTCATCACATGAGAGCATAGTGTGTTTAGTATAACTACAACTATGAATGGACAGGAGGGGATGTAGATGACTACCCATTCATTCATAATTGAGGCTATAGTTAACATACCATGTCCTCAATTATCTACAAACACTCAGCGATCACTGACCTGCTTGTACCCGCTCTCCTCTCTGATTTGCTGTCACAGGAGGCTGAGCGAGCAGTGTAGGAATTAGAGCTCAGCCTCCTGTGACAGCGCGGCCTGTCTCCGCCTACACAACGCTCTGCGATAGGAGGCTGATCGGTGTGGGAGGTGACGCCGGCCGCTCACAGCCCTCTCCTCCCGCAGCGCTCGGCTGTCACTTTCTCTCCTCCCCGCTGGAACACAGAGCAGCGCCTAGCAGGTAGGAAAGAAAGCAGGGATGCGCCGACGTATCGGCAGGAAAATGGCACTGTCGGCATTATGCCAAAAGTGCCATTTTCGGACGATATGTTTTGGCCGGCTGATATACCGGTGCATCCCAACTTGAATTGTATTGTGATTGTGATGTCTTCCTTATATTGTAAAGCGCTGCGCAAACTGTTGGCGCTTTATAAATCCTGTATAATAATATTATTAACAGTGTATGTAGATCTTTAAACAAATGTTAATATGAAAAATCTAATCAGGACATTTGATAATGCCAACACAGACTTGGCAAACGTTGTAGACATTTTGATTGATTTTAAAATTTGATTTTAGAATGAAGTTTCTCTGATGAAAACCACATTCACTTTTAGAATTTTGAGAAATTCTCCATCCCACTATTTGTTTTTTGTCACTGTGGCTGAAAACAAATTGTCGATTTGACCCCCAGGATTCCAAAACCAACGCTTGCAGTGGGGCAACCCTGCACTGTAAGGGTAAAGTGCTTGTTTTGTCTAGGAGGCTCAAATATAGAAGATTTACTTACCTGATCCTTGGCCCCTCTGGGCTCCTAGACCGGTTCCCGTAGCCTCTTATCCCCTGGGCTCCGGTGGACTAAGGACTGCTGACGTTATCAGTTCTAATGCAGGTTTATTGACCTGCATTAGACAGGAGTACACTGAGGGACAGATCGGAGGGGGGAGAGAGGCGAGTGCTGACCACTGAGGGACTGAGGATCAGGTGAGTATTTCTGCGCCCCTAGACCAAAACGAGTACTTAACCCTTGCAGTGCAGGGGCAGTCCCTCCGCAATGGTAAGTTTTATAACAACTGACCCCATCTTTATCTGTTAGAACGATTACAAAAAAAAGTGCTGCAATTCTCACTGCTCTCTGCTCCTCTTTCTATGTGCCCTTGCGGAGACCTGATTTTGCTCGGGTGTTGAGAAACACATGTCTCCACATACCGTGTAAACGAGCCCTTACTGAGCTGGGATCAGAGGGGAGAGGTTCCAGGCCAGCGAAGATACAGACATGAAAGTGTAAAAACTATGGAGGCAGCTACAACCGAGCAGAAACCGGCATGCAGGTACAGATGGGCAAGTTAGCCGCACGGACCGAGCTGAGATCTACACATATGACCTGGATTAATATACTAGTCAGCAATGTATGGTAAGCGAGTCTGCTGTAAGCTGGTATTGGACTGACAGTGGAAGAGGAATACGCATTGCAATTGAAGGGAAGCACATTTATAAAGCACACAGCAATGTACTAGAGGAGATTAATAGAAAAGCAGTGGTGGGGCTGTTTTAAGCTCATACTGCTACTTTAGGGCACATGTACACTGATGCAAATACAAGCATATGGCTGTACAGCAGGGATCCACTGAAATAAAAAATGTGTCAGTCCAAAACCGAAAAGAAATTTTCTTCTCCCAACTTTTACATTATTTTTTTTTTAACTTTACGGTTAAGGGCTTTGGGGAAATATTTGGGTCTAAACAGACCGCTGATATTTCCCTTTGAAATAGAAATTAAGGACACAAAGTCCAAAATCTCTTTTTCTGCAGCCTGTTATGAAATAAAAGGAATTCTCTATACTGAGTGTTCCTCCCCATTCATAAACTGTGGAGTCAGTATCAGTTACAACATCCACAATCAGGAATGAACAGGAAGTGATGTAGAGCACTTCCTGTTCATTAATAACTGGGGACATAGTATGCTTACCATCTGCTCAGTTATTTACAAACACTGAGTGATCAGTACTGATCGCTGAGTGTTTGTGCTCCGCTCTCCATCCTGACTGCTCCGCCTCTCACAGGATCCAAGCTCCCCTCCCACACCATCCTGCTTGGCCTCCCCCCTGGGCGCCGGCAGCAGGATCGGCTCTGTGTTCCCTCCAATCCCCAGTGCCTCTGCCAACACAGGCGGGTGAGAGCAGCGGGGATCAGAGGGGACACAGTGCTCAGCGGGGTGGAGAGAAGCTGGGGATGCACCGCATTTTAAGCTGTTTTTGTAGTAACGGCATTTTTCCCCATAGTACCATTTTTGGCCAAAATGTTTCGGCAGCCGTGATTTTGGTGCATCCCTAGGGTACTGTACAGTGTAAAACACGCCTGTATTTGTAGTGCCCCAACTACTGATTTTTTTGTGACCATAGCAATGTATTGACAGAATTGGCTTTACGCGGGTATCCAAATGTAAATGCAGTAACGTATGTTTACATGCGCATGCGTATGGGCGTGAATTCCCAAACATAGAAGTTTCAAATTCGGGAATTCACACCAGTACACAAGCGCATGTATGTCCGTCTACATGAGCCCTTATACAATCAACCACAGTGACGCGTCCAGCATGCGGAGAATCAGATCAATAAGGACTTCTGATCCGAGAGATTCTCTGCAGACTAAAAAACCGGCACTGAAAATTTAGCATTACCCAAATGATTTGCTCATCTCCAACATGGGCCCCGGGACGGTTGTGATTACAAATTTAACTTTTCGGTCATCTACTTTAAAAGGGATCAATAAATGTACATTGTACAGGTGAAACTCAAATAATTAGAATATCGTGCAAAAGTTAATCACAATGATGACAAATCACGGCTTGAATTATCTTGCTTTGCATGTAATGAGTCTCTCTCATATATTAGTTTCACCTTTTAAGTTGCATTAGTGAAATAAATGAACTTTTGCACGATATTCTAATTATTCGAGTTTCACCTGTATAATCCCGGATCGGTCTTTCATGAAGTATTATGATGAGTTGTGTGTGATAAACTGCTGACACTTACATATTTCTCTTCAAACTTCTTAGCCAATTTTTCCACCTCCTTTCTCTCCGCTTCTTCCTCATCGAACGGGCTGAAAAGTTTCTTCTGAGGAAGGAAAACAGAACATTAGAACCAGAAATAACAGTCTTCTCATCTCTATATGAAATAATTTTTGCAGAGAGCAGAGCTGTGGGAGGGGCCCAGCAGGCCCCACGCACTACAGGCTGCCTGCAGAAAACTACAGGAGGGGGCGGAGTCAAGACCAATCACTCTGCACAAGGAGGAGATGTATCAGCAGTAGCCAATCTTTATTACAGGAGGGGGAGGAGACAAGACCAGTCACCCTGCACAAGAAGAGGGAGCAGCAGTGTCCAGTCTTTATTACAGGAGGGGGCAGAGACAAGACCAGTCACCCTGCACAAGGAGAAAGAGCAGCAGTGGCCGGTCTTTAATACAGGAGGGGGAGGAGACAAGAACAGTCACCCTGCACCAGGCAAGAGAGCAGCAGTAAGCGGTCTTTATTACAGCAAGCTCAAAGTTACTGCACAGATTTGGAAAAAATACACCACGAGTCAAGAATACACATGACCCTTGTCTGAGGACGATACTGGCTTATCCCGGAGTTCAGCTTTAAAAAGCAGCAGTGAGCGGTCTTTATTCAAGTGCCATTAGGCCACAAAACAATTGTCACAGCCAAGCAGATAAAGCCCATCAACTGAAGCTGCTGAATCCACCAAAGAGAGGAAAAAGGCACAACTTCCCATGCCCCATTACTGACAACCCCAGCTGCCCCACCCCTTGCTGCTCGGATCCCAGACCCCCCTTACATTTTCTGCTGGTGGACTCTTCTTGCTGTTCCCCTGCAGATTCCTCAACAATTCTGGGTAGAAAAACTCGGGGCACTTCTTCTGATCCGGCTCGAACAGAGACAGCGCAATGCGGACCGTGGCTGCCACCGGCGTCTCTTGCTCCTGGCTGTCCGGACGCGGCTTCTTAGGCGGCGAGGGGAGGAAAGGAGACGGCGAAGGAACGGTGGACAGCTGTACCCTCCGCGGCTCTGCCATGATCAGATTAGGAAACGACGGCGGGAAGCGGGGCCAACCTACAACAGGCTGGGGGGACGTTGACCGCAGCTGAACGGCTTCCTGTACGGCAGAAGTCCTCCTATCCTGAGGCCTCAACGGGAGAAGTGGCAAGGCGGGAATGTTTTCCACTGACGGTGCATTTCTGCCGACCTGTTGACAAAAGCAAATATTTTTTTTTAAAAGTAAATAAAATGTACAAACAGGATCTTCGGTCACCTATTTTTGTTCCAATAATGACACAATTATAAAATGGTGCATGGGCCCATATGGCAAAAGCAGAGTCAAAGAGCACAGGTTAAAGGCCACCCCCAGATTTGTCCCCCGTCCCCTTTACTTTTTTATTTAAAGTGACATTAAACCATCAGATTTTTTTAACATAAACCAATAGTGTAATGTGTGCCTTACTGTAATCCATGGTTGTGTCCCTTCTCTTTGCTGCTCTTCCGTTTAAATCCTCATGTCTTCTCATGCTTGGGAAGAACTTCCCTTTTCAGCTCAGGGCCTCTTCCTGTAGTGCTGGCTCAGGTTTCAAGCCTATAGAAACGTATACACAGACACCATGTATCCATTCCTGAGACAAGGCAGTCTGCTGCAAAACAGAAGTTCTGCAGAGCATGAGAACAGATACAGATTTAAAAGGAAGAGCAGCAAAGAGAAACAACCATGGATTACAGTAAGGCGCACATTACAGTATTGTTTTATGTTAAAAAGTCTGAGGGTTTAATGTCACTTTAAGCAGAACTTTTTTCTCCCCTCTTTGGTCTGGTCATGTGACATGACAGGTCGTCCTCCTCTCCCTCGGTGGACGGGTCCTGAACGTTGCAGGGAAGCTCAATGACAAAGAGCCGTTACTGGCAGCATTCTCCTGTGAGCCCAGTGTAGCCTGATGAAGCGCCCTCAAGGGGGCGGGTCCCTGACACCCTGCGTTCACAGGAAGTGGCGTGACTGACGCTAGGCGACGGATCTTAATGAGTCACCAGAGGTGGAGGCAGTATTGCCATCCAGAACCTTTCGTAAAGTGATTTGTGAGCTGGATTTGGGCTTTAAAGCTCTTCCTGGGCAGAGCAATTGCCAAATATGAGGTAAACCTGTCCAGGTGACCCGTTTTGAAAGGGGCGCGTTCCACAGCCGTCATCCTTCACTACACCGACTACACCGGCCCAAAAACAAGCACGTGTCTGTGTGATGTCCTGACAGGTGTCTATGCCTGTGTCAGGTCGGGGATTCACAGATGAAGGATGAGGATGACGGCCCTGGAAGCTTCACCTGCAAAGACAAGTCAGCATTTTGCAGCTCCCATATATCTGCCCTTTGCAGGCTTTGGCAAGGCTCCAGAGGTTAAAGTGCAGCAGACAGGAAGCACAGGCTAAATGCCAGGGGGGCAATTTGCAGTCAAGAATATTGAAAGGAAGCAACCCCTTACATTTAATATGGGTTGCAGGGTGCAGCACAGACAGTTCTTATTTCAGAAATTTGGCACAGGAAGGGGACCAGTGCTAGCTGGAGATCAAGCAGCATCAGCCAATCATGCTCAGGATTCCAATTAATGGACGGTTGCTATGGGTTACCACCATTCCGCCTTCAGCTCCAAGCACACAGAGGGTCGATCCATTACAGGCGGCATGGGGAGGATAATTAGTCCACCAGAGCCCAGATAGAAAGGGGGGCGCCGGGTCACCCGGAAGTTCTCCTGGAGTGTGTGTGCCCACAGACAGCGGACCATCAACCCGCCGGCTTCGACTCACTCACCTCAGCCCTCTCCGCTCTGCATCCCCCGGTCACAAGACGGAAAAGGCGCCCAGAGAGAGAGAAACGTCACCTAGCCGAGCGGTCACGTGGTCCAGGGAAGCCTCAGCGCTTCCTCCGTGGTCACGTGACTCCTCCCAGGCAAGACGAAAGCGACGACGACAATAACAACAAGCGCTGACAGCGGGCTCACGTGACCGAGTCGGCCAATCTGCACCCCGGGAGGCCTCGAGCACGCGCTTCCCCTTCTCCACTCTTCCTGAGACAGCTGGGCGGAGCTAGAGCTTGCTCTCCTCGCTTTTACCTATCGGCGGAAAGCTGTCGCGAGGACGGTGGGGTTGATTGGCTGTATTCGGTCACGTGCTGGTCCTCGGCACTGAGTGGTGGGGGGCGACAGTACGGGTACGCGCACGGAAGGCGGGTGGGGGGTGTTTCCTGTTCCCGGCATCCTTCGCGCGGGCAGTCTCTCTCTTCCTATCCCCCGCCTCCTCCCCGCTCTGCCTGTGTCGGTAAGATGGCGGCAGTGAGTCTACGACAAGGAGACCTGGTGTGGTGAGTGATGAGGGGGAGCGTCATGGGAGGAATTCTACCCTAAACCTGGCCTATAAGAGGGTCATTGAGGGGGTTGTATTGTCAGGTCTATTATCATCAGTGGGTCATGTGCTGGGCTTAGGGGAGGAGCAACCTAGGTATGGCAGAGGTCTTATACTTGTTTATTGGGGATCAGGTGAGGGCTGCGTGTGGATGGATCTGGTATTGGGGATCCGGTGAGGGCTGTGTGTGGTGGGATCTGGTATTGGGGATCCGGTGAGGGCTGTGTGTGGTGGGATCTGCTATTGGTGATTGTGTGTGTGATCTGGCATTGGGGATCAGGTGAGGGATCGGGGATTGGGGGAGAATTGTGTCTGCTTGGTTGGAGGGATCTTGCATTGGGGATCGGGGGAGAATTGTCTGCTGGGTTGGAGGAATCTGGAGAATATTGTTTCTGCCTGGTTCGAAGGTTAAGTAATGGGAATCAAGAAAGGTTTTTGTCTGGTGGGTTGGAGGGATCGTGCATTGGGGATCAGGGGAGGATTGTGTCTGGCTGGTTCGGAGGTTAGGTAATGGGATGGTGGGTAGGAGGGAGGATCTGATCTGGTATTGGGGTTGAGGTGTGATTTGTGTCTGGTGGCATTGAGGATTCTTCTATTGGGGATCAGGAGAGGATTGTCGGGTGGATTGGGGATCAAGGGAGAATTGTGTCAGATGGGCTGGAGGGATTGGGGATCGGGGAGATCAGTGTGTGGTGGGTTGAAGGGATCTGGAGAGTATTACTTCTGATGGGTTCATAGCCAGGTCATGCGGAATAAGAAAGATTTGTATCTGGCGGGTTGGAAGGATGATCTGGTATTGGGGTTCAGAAGTGGTTTGTGTCTGTTGGGTTGAAGGGATCCGATAATGGAAATCAGGGGAGGATTGTGTTTGGGGGGGGGGGTCATTTCTGGTGGTGACAGGGTTACAAGGTAAGATAGAGTTGGGGATCTGGTATCGGGAATCTAGAGAGGTTTGTGTCTGGTGGCTTCAAGGAATCTGGTCCTGGAGATCTTGTGAGGAAGGGATGAGCCAGGTTTTGGACTGAACCCCAAATTAAGTTCTCAGTACCGTCCCAATCGGCTGTGGTCGGGCCATTCTGACCACCAGTGTAAGGTGGCTCTTCTCCCACTGACCACCAGTCTACGAGGGCCCCTCTTCCATTGATCACCAACGAAGGGTGGTCCTTCTCCCAGTGACCACCAGTGTAAAAGGGTCCCTCTCCCATTGATCACCAATGTAAGGTAATCCTTGTCACACTGACTAGTTTTGAGTAAGTTGGTGAAATTCCTCTTTGAAGCAGGGTGATTTTTAATTTAAGGGGGGTAAAGGTCATCTATAATCCCTGATACTTAAATTCTAAATGGTTTTCATTCTGCTCACATCCCAAATTTGATTTTCGTGTGTTTCTTTTTAGGGGGAAACTGGGTCGGTATCCTCCATGGCCTGGAAAGGTGAGTGAATGTGAACTGGGCTGGGATTTTTGTTTCTGCATTAATTCCTAAAACTATTTAAAGACAATTTTTTGGGGGATGGGATAAAGTAAGAACCAATCAATTTTTGTTTGCGGTCTTTGTGCTGTTTTGAGGCCTTGTTCACACCGAATGTGCTGCGTTCCAGAGCAGTAGTCCGTTCTTACCCTCCTTTCTGTCCCCTCAAACAAATCCCTTTATGCCCCTTGTTTCTTCTGCCCTCTGGTTTGTGTCACCAGGCGTCCCTTTTTTTTTGTCCATAAGTAGGAATGGAATGACTTCTGGTCGCGTTTCTTCAGATATGTAGTTTGCTGAAGGAGAGCAGTGTAGTTCCTAAAGGAGAATTATGAGGCGAGTGATTTTCACTCATCCTCATAGTTCGAGCCGCTGTGTGACAATGAAACTGTCACACGTCGGCTCAATAGATGGGGAAGTGAACGAACACATACTGTCGCTCGCTCACTTCTCGATCCTGTCCCTGCAGGGATCGGTGACTGTCACTCACGGCTCCCTGCAGGGATTCTCCTGCTCCGATCCTCCAGCGCTGACTGGCAGAACAGACGGGGGAGGGGGCGGGTACAGCTGGCTCTGTCTCTAGATAGGCAGAGCTAGCTGTCACTCACGCAGCTGGGCAGATCTCGACAGTAATGTTGGGATCCGTCCCGGCTGCGGGGGTCTCAGTATACCGCGAGCTGTAGCTTTGGGACACGGGAGGACGCTAGTTTATCTCCTCCTGTGACTCTTAGGAGAACTATGGGTGAAAAGCACTGACCCCATAGTTGTCCTTTAAAAGTGTTACCACTCCTTCTGTGGGCAGGTATGATTTCCCATCACGCGGTCACGACCCGCCGACAGACATATTTAATCACCATTCCTATGTGGGCAATTACAGCTTATAAATTAACTTGCTGCCCATCGCATCAGTGAATTCCCATGGTGTGGGAAATGTGCACCACCTGCCTTGATCACTTCCCCTGGCATAAACTTTCAAGAAGTAGCTGATGACGTCCCACAAAACGTGAATTACTCTAAAAGTCACTCCGTTATTTGTAGAAATATAAAAGTGTTTTTATTGTGTCCATTCTAGCCGTGATTGGCAAGGCTTCATTCTCGGTCCCCCGACTTCTGCAATTCTCCAGCACAGAACAGATCCTGGAAATGATGGCACGTGCATTGTCATCTCGGCACCCCAATGGAGAGCACGTTTATTGCAATGTACAAACCTTCATAGCGGTCCGTGGGATGGCGGCTCGGCTAATGCGAATGTGAGAATTCCAATAGATAACGCCTGTTTTTTGTCTGTTTTTCAGATTGTCAACCCACCCAAAGATTTAAAGAAGCCACGCGGCAAAAAAAGCTTGTTTGTCAAGTTTTTCGGAACTGAAGATCAGTAAGTACATTGGCTGGAATGGGCTTGAAAAAAATTAAAATGGGGCAGCACACCGGATTCCACTGGGATAGTTTATTGAAGCTTGTACCACATCACTGGTGTCCCGCCTAAGGTCCGCTGCCTCTGGGAACCTTGGGTGAGACACCAGTGTGTACAAGCTTCAACAAGCTTCAATCAACTATCCCAGTGGAAGCCGGTGTGCTGCCGGCTTTTCTTCTGTTTCTATGAGCTCATATTGGAGCAAAGACATGCTCCCAGTGGCAAGCACCCAGCTCATTCCTTTCTTGAGCCGTGGAGGAGCCGTGCTTTTTTTGTGTGTTCTCCTTGAACAACAAATGTGTTTTTTGAGTTTTATGGTATTTTAGTTTTTGTAGTTCTTATTGCCTATGACAATAACTATATGAAAGTGTGGAAACCCTAACTGAATTACAATTAGTTTCCTAGAGCACTGGGTGTCATAACAACCCCCTTTTTTTGCTTAGATACTTGTTTTTTTACCTTTTTTTTTTTTCCATCCTGGTTAATGGGATGGGCTGGCCTGCAGTTTTTTTTGTTTGTGTGTCATCCTCCTGTAGGCTGAAGTACTGTATAATCTAGACATTAAAGTGACACTAAACTCAGGAGTGAAATCTTAAAAATACATTCAAGGACCTTAACTATTAACAACAATGTATCTTATTTGTGTATCACTCGGCTGTAGATCCTCCAATCATCTCTGAATTGGTGCTGACACTGTCCTTCCTTCTGGAGGGGGGCTACTTTTGTTCCCCATGGTCCCTGTGTGTGTTGTAAAGTAGTCACCGCTCCAAGCTCACCCCCGGGATGGACTATAATCTCAATGCAAATAAGTGAACTAGACGTGAGATTGTAATCCTTCCCGGGAGTCAGCTTGTCGGCACCAATTCAGAGATGATTTGAGGATCTACAGCTGAGTGATGCACAAATAAGATACATTGTTATTGGTTAATGTAATTAAATGCATTTTTAAGATTTAACTCCAACGTTTAGTGTCACTTCGTGTGTACCTCCCCAAAATCCCGTCTCCCCAATGGACAAGAAATGCAATATGCTAGAAAATTTGACTACTGCAGGAAGAGTCAACTCCCAAGCACACCACTCTCCTCCTTTTTGTGTGTCATAGCCCTCTCCTTTTCTGGGAGTGTCTTAATTGCTTTCCCAGCTCCCCCTTCCCTCACTTCCCTACATAACCTTTCATGCTGGGAAAGGGAGTGGGTAAAGGGGAATACTATAGAGAGTCACTTGAGTGACAGCTGGGGCTGCTGAGATCACATCCAAGATGGCAGTACCCAGCAGCAGGCTCTGGGATTTTGAAGGTCTACACAAGGAAAGCTTTTCCAGGTTGAATTCACAAATCTTTAATTATACATTTATTCTTAAGGGATGATTTTGGATAAAATGGTCTGGTGACTGGGTCCCTTTTAATTGTAGAGTGATGACAGGCTCTCTTTAAAGTCATATCATATAATGTGTGTCATGGGTACCTTGTTGGTTGTCTTGATTACTAAAAGGCTGTATTCTCTGTCTTTCAGTGCTTGGATCAAGGTGGAGCAGCTGAAGCCCTACCACCCCCATAAGGAGGAGATGATAAAAGCCAACAAGGGTAAACGTTTCCAGCAGGCCGTGGATGCCGTGGAAGAGTTCCTAAAGAAGAAACTTGCCAAGGAACAGGTACGGAGAGATACAAAGTGGCATTGCATGCAACTTTATAGTGTTAAGGTTGTACACGTTGCTTTTGCTGATAGTTGTGGTGTATGGTGTGTTATGGTGGCTTTTTGTGGTGCGTCCTATAAGTGAGCTATATTAGGTTATATTTTTTATTTCCAAATGACCGGTTCCCTTTTAATTGTATTTGTGTCAATTTTTTTTCTGGGTCCCACGCTTGCAGTACTATTCCCAGCTAAACTTTTAATTCTTTCAGAACTCAAGCGATGAAAAAAACAAAACTGGTGGCAAGAAAGCAGAGGGCAAAACAAAGAAGACTACTGGTGAAAAGAAGAGGAAGTCCTCAGATTCCTCCCCCAAGTCCCCCAAAAAGCCCCGCGACCAGAGCCCACGCAAAAGAGGAAGGCCGCCCAAGGACGAAAAGGTGCCGAGATCATTCAGCTGTATATTTACATTGCAGTTATAGAGTGATTTCTGTATATGCAAGATACTAAATCCAACATGTCCATTGTAAATGTTAAAGCCTCGTTCACACTAGAAACGGCCGGCACGTACAGCTCCGCGCCATCCTGTCAGCATACGAATACGGACACCTGCACGTACGTGTAATCCCAGAGAGAAGGACCGGGGCTACATACTAATCCCATGCAGCACCTGTCCTTCCCGGGAGCTGCCCGATATGGCTGTGCATGCAGCACGGAGCTGTACGTGCCGGCTGTTTCTCGTGTGAATGAGACCTAAAGCATTAAAAGGAGGGGGCGTTACCTTTTGCTTTCCACGCTGCATCAGTATATGGTTTCCCTAAACCCCGGTTCAGATTGTGTTCTGGGAACATGTGCTTTACCAAAATACATGACGTGATGGTGGCATGTGGTGTCACGAATTTTGAGTGGCACCCCAACCATCTTTGCAGAGGTGCCCTGCAATGCACTAACTGCTTTAAAAGGTGCAGGTCCGATATCTGGGCCATTTGAGACGCATTACCTCATTTTGGCCTGCCTAACAGTGCATATTAACCCACCGCAACACACTCCATCTGTTGGGTGTGGACCTAGCCTAACTGTATGTGCCAGTCATACAGGGAAATTGAACTGAGTTGGAACACAGCCTGCTATCTGGATATAGTTTTCATCCTCTTGCCAAATCCCTGGTGGGTACCAGTATGTTTATTATCTGGATGGCTCTGCGAGTGTGCTGAAATGCATGCCAATGTGTTTCCTGGTTGCCCCTTTGATGTTTTTGGGTTGGTTGCCCAGCATCATGTGACCAGACATCTACCGCCTCTCACTGAACTATAGTAAAAACCTCAAACAAATGTAGTATAGTCAAAGCGCTATGAACGGATCTTGGTACTTGAGTGTTGTATATGTGAGATTACTAGGGGTGCTGCCCCACTTCAGTCAGGGGAGACTGTAAAACTGGAATATAAAAAGAACAGAGGGGCGCCCAACCTAGTGCAGATTATTTTTATTTAAAAGACACAAAAGTAAAATTGCAATGGTACTCACAATAGTGGGTCAAAAAACAGCTCGTATGGATGATTTCACAGAAACAGCAGCTGCAGGGCTGTAATCGGTTTGTATGCCACTACAGTATGACGTCGTTGACGCGTTTCCGGGGTCACGTCGTTCTGAGGAAGGGGGCGTGACCCCGGAAACGTGTCAACGACGTCACACTGTAGTGGCATACAAACCGATTACAGCCCTGCAGCTGCTGTTTCTGTGAAATCATCCATACGAGCTGTTTTTTGACCCACTATTGTGAGTACCATTGCAATTTTACTTTTGTGTCTTTTAAATAAAAATAATCTGCACTAGGTTGGGCGCCCCTCTGTTCTTCTTTTTATTGTAAAAAACTGTTGACTCTCACAGTAGATGACATCACATTCAGAATATTGGAATTATTGCATGCTTCGGGGGAAATGGGTATTCAACCCATCCAGCCTATGGAATATACACGGCTGCCGAAAAAAAGTTATACTCAGACGAACTGATGTGCCGGCTCCCTGCTTCTCCAGTCTCCTCCTATGACGCAGCATGGGATTGTTCCTCAGCATCCTCACGTCTATACACAGTGTATAGAAAATGATGGTTTATGGGACCTTAGACCGCTGCAGAGGAGGGGGTAGAGAGGCTGGAAGGACCAGTCTAAGAACAGGAAGGCTCCATGGTTCAGATGAGTATACCTTTATTTTAGGAAAATGAGCACCTAACCCTGGTGGTAGCCTCACTGCAAGGTTTAATACATTTTTGGCTGGAGTTCTTCTTTAAATCATCAGCCTTTCTTCAGAATTCATCCATAGTACAGACAGTTTCCCTGGTCACCAGTGATAGTCGCACTTCCTCTAGTAGTGGGATCTAATGCCTACAGTTACACCGCGTTGTCTAACGTTCGTCTTCCTGCCTGTATAGGACACCACGTCTCCCCAGCCGAGCTCCCTGAAGAAGCTGGCCATGAAAACGGTGTCTCGCTTCAGCTGGCCCCCACCCTCCAGTGAGGTAAGGCTAAACTCCGCGGCTCTCATGCCCGGCTCTCTAGTTTCCTGGCGTCCACAGTGATAGCTCTGGGCGGAGCCGGTCACAGGGATTTTTCTTCTCCTGGAGAGCACGAAACAAGTAAGAGCGAGCGCACTTGTGCATCGGCTCTGGAACACTGTCGTCATGGCAACCATCTGCACCATTGATGCAGACAGTTTGTCAGATATTTTAAGACTCTTCACTAGAGAAATGAAAGTAGGCTGTAGTCAAAATGTAGCTACTCGAGGCCCACATGGTTAACCCATTAACAACTAGATTTTTTTTTTTTCTTGCCCTGATCAGATCCTGGTGACCAGATCATTTGGGATCAGAGGCATGTTACCAGGTCCTTCAGCGTTAAGGGTAGGTTCACACCATTTTCCGGACAAGACCTGGTCCGGAAAGTGGTATGAACTTGCCCACAGTTCCAGTGCATTCCAGACCAGACAAAATGAGACATGCATTATTTGTCTGGTCTGGAACGGACTGCGCTGGTGTGAACAGAGGCCAGAAATAGCATAGGGATACATTAGGATGCATTTTGGGTCCGAAAACAGTCTGGTCTGGAGATTATCTGGATGTGGTGTGAATGGGCTCTAAAGGAACACTGCAGGTTTTTCTTTTTTAAGCCTCATTGATCATTTTTCTTTTACTGCAAGCCTACAAGATGGGCTCTGTCTGGTTTGAAATGTTCAGTAGTCTTCTATGTATATAAATAAAATATATAGCTGCTGTACCCTGCTTGTCCATCCTTTGCTTAGGGGGGGTGCATTCATGCATGCTAGGATTACAGTTCATCCCCAAACCCAGTCCATCAATTATTTCCATTTCAAAATTCTTGCAATGAATAACAAATTCTCCTGAGCACTGCCACGTGACCTAAAGGCGAAGCAGAGATCACGTAGACTCTGGCTACCAGGAGCATTGGGGGATGTTTCATATCACTGGAGACTGCTACAAAGGCGATTTAATCCTGCACCCGATTCCAAGTTCCTATACTTTGAAATGTGTAAGGGATCGTGTGGTTTGTATGCTGCTTTGCAAAAGGATATCACCAGCACACCATTTAAGTGAAATCAACAAAAGTCCATTTATTGATGGTGTACTGTCATTCCAGTACAAGCGCTTTCATCATTCTGAACCTGATAACGGGGACCCTGTGCGACCCCCGAAAGCGCTTGTTTTGGAATGACAGTAATCCATCAATAAATGGACTTGTGTTGATTTTAGGCCTGCCGCTAACGATTATTTTCATAATCGATTAGCTACCCGATTATTTTTTCAACTAATCGATTGATCGATCTCTCTCTCTCGATGAGAATAGTTGCCAACTATTCTCATCGATTTAGTCGATTTAGTTGTTGCAGCTCTAGTTGATTTCACTTAAATGGTGTGCTGGTGACATCCTTTTGCAAACGTGTATATCTTTACGGCGCCCACCAGGATTTCAAGGAACATCCTATACCGGTAAGGAGAGCAGCAAGACACCTATATATGTTTGTATGCTGCTGTCTGTGGATTAGAACCGCAGGGGGCCTTATACAAACCCTTGCAGCTGAAACACGTAAGCAGAACATTTGATATTGTTTTGATATTCATTGCAAGAATTTTTAAATGGAAATAGTTGACGGTTTAAACACCTGGCCACAGGTTCACTTTAAATAAACCAGGATTATGGTGGAATAGCATTTTATATGCTGATATGAGCTTTTCTAACGTGGTGATTAACCTTGACCCTCCTGCATCTCAAAGCTCAACTTGGGCACCTGTTGAAAGGTATCCACAGTGTGACGTGTCAAGGAGGGGGGGGGCTTAGAGCTGAAGCAAAATGTATGCATTTAATACTCCATTTTTAGTGGGAGGGGCCAGCAGGCTCCTGTAAATGTCACAGAACCTTGGATCTGTTTCAAGAGTGTTGTATGAAAGGACACATCCCCACCATCCCTTTAAGCATTCCTGCTCCTCCATGCTGGGCACTGCAGACTTTAGCTATGCAGTCTGTTTATTAGTTGCCCGAGCATGCAGGTTTAAATTGATGCCGGGGATGTGTTTCATGTCACGCTTGCAAACTAAATGATTGATGTCAGAGAACGCAAATAGCTGTGAGGGGCAGGAATCAACAGTACTGATCAGGAGGAGAGGGGATTGATGATGATTGAAGTCATTCGGACAAGAAATGATGGCAAGCTTAGGATTGCCGCTACAACTTTAAAGGATTTTATTGTGGAGATGCCAGTTTGCAGGGAATTGAGAGTAATCAGTTTTAATACAAGGAGGACTTGCTTCAAGTGTGGAAAAAAAGAAGGTAAGGCTGGAGTTCAGCTTTAAACCCCGACTTAGAGAGAGAGGTCACGATTTGCATACTGTAATCTCAGGAAGTTCTGGGATGGTACAGTACATGCAGGCACCTTGTGGGGCCAACCATTCTCCAATTCTGGACGATTTTCATATTTTTAAAGGGTAATTCCACTTTCCCAGGTTAATTTGAAATTACCCACTTCAATCTGGTTCCCTCTCCCTTCCCCTATGACTTTAAAACAGGCCCCCTTCCTCCCATACTTTCGGCAAACGCTCCTTCCCCTCCGCCGGTATTGGTGCACTGTCCGTACCGTGTAGTGCAGCCCTTCACCATGAATTATGAATATTGCTCGCAAATGGGAAGCATTCATTGGTCAGGTGATCGTGCGGCCCAATGATGATCGCTTCTGATCATAGCGCAGGGCTGCACTACACGGCAGTACAGGGTACAGAGAGTACACCTGCACTGGTGGAGGGGAAAGCGTGTTTGCCGAACAGTAAGTATAGTGGGGCGGGGCAGATTGGAGGGGGTAATTCCATTTCCCCAAATTCACTGGGAAAGTGGTGTTACCCTTTAACCAGTTGCCGTCCGCCCGTAGTAGAAAAAGGGACGGACAGCACTGTCGCATTGGCGGGTTGCCGTCGCCAGTGTAAACTATAATCTGGTTCATATTTAGAGCTCGGGCAATTAGTGGTTTTACTCTTTGGGTTGACTTGTGTGATGCTAACCCTGCTGTTACCCATAATCCTCTGCTTCAGCTGAGCTGAATGGTTCATTGTGTTCAATTTTCAGTTCCTTGGTTATTGTTGGAAGTAAAGGAAAACGGGTTTGGGGGCCCTTGGTACTTCCCATCATATAGTTTGTTTTATAAATGTTCTGCGGCATTTGAGCATTCAAGTGTGTCTGGGTTTTTTTTTAGCTCTTGCTGTGGTTGATGTAACTTTTGTAATGTGATATTTTAAAGGCATAGTCCACATCTTAGTCCATGTTTTATTCTACACTAGTATTTGGGGTATAACATGAAACGTGACATAAAACACATTTCCCAAAACCCAAATTGCACTTCCCGCTTACTTGCATCAGAGGTTGCACCCTATGTTTTTTTATTTTATGACTCAGCCGCACCATCCTGGTTGGGGATTGTTTCATCGCACGCCTGACTGTAAATATTAGGGATGCACCGATACTAGTATTGGTATCGGTGGCAATACCAAGTATTTTGGGCGAGCACACGTACTTGCCCAAATGATCCCGATACTGCAACTTTCGCCATCAGGAAGCCAGGTGGCGAGTCTTAACACGCTGCCCGGCTTCCTGATTGGCAGGGAAGCCGGCTCCATGTTCCCTCATCACCAGGACTTCTCGGTCAATCAGGAAGCCGCCTACCCCCCCCCCCCCCGCCTTTCGTTGGGCGGGGGACACAGCCCCCCGACCCC